TCCTCGGTGCAGGAAAACCCATACATCTGGTGTCAGAAGTGTTCTGCGGGTAGAGGAAACAGCTTTCCCTTTTAGGTGGTGTCGGAGAAGTGGGATTTGCTAGAACCGCCCAGGCTCATGGAAACATGTGGTTTGGGAAGAGAAAGGAAGGGCAGGGATGAGGAACCTTCGGTTCCCGAGTAGCCGAGGCGCCACGTGGCAGCTGTGTGGTGCTGAGTTACTCATGGTAAAAGTTACCCATGGAATTTAGAGACGACTCCAATTCGCGGGGACTTGGTCTACTGGACATATAAGGAAATGAGGGAACAGCCACACACAGGGACCATCCCTTGGTTGTGGTTCCTCTGAATGGCGAAAATGAAATCACCAGAGTGCTAGGCGGGAAGGTGATGCTAGGCCGAGCTCAGGTTTCAGTGAATCTGGTCTCCTGTCACTGGCCTCACAGCCACCTCCAAAGGGAAACATCATGCAGTCACCAGAAAGTGCCTCTAAGGCTTCTGGTCACCAAGAAGGTAGTGGATGGGGGTGGAGGAGGGAGACAAAACCGGGAAACTATGGACACCAGAGAGTGTAGTGGGAAGGAGTTGTTTCATTTCAACGTTTATTTATTTTTTTTGGGACAGAGAGAGACAGAGCATGAACGGGGCAGGGGCAGAGAGAGAGGGAGACACAGAATCGGAAACAGGCTCCAGGCTCTGAGCCATCAGCCCAGAGCCTGACGCGGGGCTCGAACTCACGGACCGCGAGATCGTGACCTGGCTGAAGTCGGACGCTTAACCGACTGCGCCACCCAGGCGCCCCGGAGTTGTTTCATTTCATGGATTGGGGTCATCAGCTTCCTGAGATATTAACTGGGAATCCAGGTGAAGGGCATATGGATGTTTACGGTACTTTCCTTGCACTTTTTCTGTTGGTTTAAAACTTTTCTGGGGGTGCCTGGGTGGCTCAGTGGGTTAAGTGTCCGACTCTTGGTTTTGGCTCAGGTCATGATCTCCCTGTTCATGACATCAAACCCCGTGTGGGGCTCTGCGTGGACAGCACGAAGCCTGCTTGGGATTCTCTCCCTCCCTCTTGCTCTGCCCCTCTTCTGCTTGTTCTCTCTCTCTCTCTCAATAAAGAAACATTAAACAACAAACTTTTTTTCTGAATTAAAAGTTGGGGAAGGGGCACCTGGCTGGCTCAGTTGGCAGAGCATGGGACTTCTGATCTCAGAGTTGTGAGTTTGAACCCCATGTTGGGTGTAGATTTCTTAAAAATAACATCTTTAGAATAAAATTAAAATTGGGACGCCTGGGTGGCTCAGTCAGTTGTGTCCAACTCTTGATTTCAGCTCAGGTCACGATCTCAGGGCTGGTGAGCTGGAGCCCCACATCAGGATCTGTGCTGACAGTGTGGAGCCTGCTTGGGATTCTCTCTCTCTCCCTCTCTCTCTGCCCCTCCCCTGTTCATGCTCTGTCTCTCTCTGTCCCAAAAATAAATAAACGTTGAAAAAAAAAATTAAAATTAAAAAGTTGGGGGAAACAGCCAGCCCCAAGTTCTTCCCATCTTTCTGCTCTGCCACCTGAAGTGGAGAAGTCTGTTGGGTGGGTCTCATGATCACAGAATGGCTGCCAACAACTTCCGCACCCAAAGCCCAGAAGAGTGTTTCCCTCCTCCGGCCATGTTCTTCGTTTCAAAATATTTATTTTTGAGAGGGAGAGAGAGCATGAGTGGGGGAGGTGCAGAGAGAGGGAGACAGAGGATCTGAAGCAGGTTCTGAGCGGACAGCAGAGAGGTGGGCGTGGGGCTCGAGGACCCGGAGATCATGACCTGGGCCAAAGTCGGAAGCTTAACCGACTGAGCCACCCAGGCACCCCCAACCATGTCCTTCTTTGAAAGTGGGGCAAACATTCCCAGGATCTCCCAACAGCCCTCTCCTCATGTCTTACCGGTCAGAAGTGTACCGCAAGTCCACGGCTAAACCAATCACTGGATAGCCGGGGAATCAAATAACCATGGCTGGCTCAGACTCAAGCTTTAAACCAATCAAGAGTCACTTCCTGGGACTGGGCTGCCTCCCCCTTCTGATTCACAGGCCACCGTGTGCTCTGCTCAAGGAAGGCAGGTTTCTGTCCACAGGGACGGTGGGGAGGGGCCACTAGGTCCAGAGTGGAGCCGGGAGGTGGGCACTCCTTGGGGGCGTGGGGGGTGGGGTGGCGGGAACTTGCCCCAGGCTAGCCAAGAACTCTGCTCTATCCCCTCCGGCGAAGGTTCTGAGATGGGCATGTGGCCTCAGCCCTTGGATGTCGGTCGGACGAGCACAGCTAAAGGCGGGTGCACCTGGCGGGCTGGGGCACCTCGCAGGGGCCGACAGTGAACTCCTCATGCCTTAGCCAGGCCGAGCTGAGTTCCTGTCACAGCCAGAAGTCCCCGCGAGGGAAAATGGGCTCTGACTTCGTGATGCAGCCGGGCTCAGTCAGCACTTTCTCTTCCCCAGAAGAACCACCCTGGAGAACAT